GGGATCCACCCAGCTTCTGCACAGGTGCTGGGAGCCAATGTCAGGTCCTTATTCAGCAAACACTTCACCCCCAGGATGTTTATATCTCGGAACAGCTCTGTGGATTGTAGATGGTATTTATATTGATCAATCAAAAGCATTGGAGTAAGATATGAATTCAGAATCTATCCACTGTATTTATTTATTTATTTATTTATTCATTTATAGTTTTTAAAAATAAATCTCCCCATATTCTACCCCCCCCACTCATTCCCAAATAAATAAACAGGAAGCCGTGTCCAGTGTTCTCAAGTGAAACCAGTCTCTACTTCTACCCTCCTGCTGCACCTGACAGACCAATGTTAGTGGTCCATGTGCATCTTTAGCTGTTAGACTAGAACCACAGGAGAACACTGGCATTGTCTTAGTCACATTTATTCCTTCTAAGTTTGAACAGGGCCAGCCACAAGATTAGCCTGGGGTACGTTGTCTGTAGGTTACAGAACTGTCACAGTTAAGACGTATTTCTAGTGCAATGGTAATCTATTAAAAAAATCAGGGTTACCTGGCATCACCCAGAATTGAAATCATGCGGTACTGAGGCAGCTCGGAGGATGCTACATGTGCTAGGATTCCAAAGAGCCTCTCAGCCATTATCATGTCATTTTGTGTCACCTGGTAAGAAAGAGCAGAGGAGGGTCAAGATGGCGCTGCTTCTTAGCTGGATACAGAAAATATGGTTTCAAAGGAATGTCTAGATTACGAACTTTCTTTTAGCATAGGAAAGTACATTTCCCTGGGCTGTGGACGTCTTCATGGTGACTTGTTTTCCTTTGAGTCTAATTACAGAGGAGACGCTCAAATGTGATTCCTGGAAGCTGACCAGGGCTGAGGAGATAGCTCTGATTGTCAGGTGTCCTGAGGACTGTGCTAGAGGCATCTTAAATTCTTAAAGGATGGTTTTTCTTTTTGTTTGTATGTGTGTGCATGTGTCTGTGTGTGCGTGTGTATGTTATGCATGTACATGTGTGTGGTTTGCATGCATGTGCATATGTGTGTTTGCAGGTGTGTGGTATGCAAGCATGTATGTAAGAGTGTTTGCAGATGTGTATGCATGCATATGGTTTTGTGTGTGTTATGGCATACATGCATGCATGTGTGCTTGTAGGTTCGTGTGTATATATGTGTGAGTGTGTGGTTGTGTGTGTGTGTGGTTGTGTGTGTGCCTGTGGAGGCCCAAGGCTGATGTCAGTATTCTTTCTCAATTATCTTTCCACGTTACATTCTGAAGCATGGTCTGGGTCAAACCCAGGGCTCACTGGTACATACAGTTTCACTGGCCATCTTACTACAGGGATCCCACCTCTTCCTTCTAAGGTTGAGATTACAGGCGGGAATTTATGTGGATTCTGGGGATCCAAATTCCAATCTTCTTGCTTGCTTAGCCAGCATTTAAATAGCTGAGCCATAGCCCATTCCCTTAAAGGCTATTTTACAAAAAGAATACTAGAGCTTCTTAAATTAGTGTGACTCAGAAGGAAACGTCAATGGGGTAGATTTCATCTGAAGGTGCTGCACATCGCTTGCTCCTATTGGGATGCTTTTGCCCCTTTCTTGAGAGATGGAATGCTTGGTAGACTAGCAAAGACACTCCTGTGCTTTCTAAATCCATGGCAACCTTTTCCCTATAAAGAATAATGTGTCCCAAGTATATACTCTGAAGGCTCATCCCTGTGTTAGTCAGTAAACTACTGAAAGAGTCAGGTGTGGTGACACACATCTGTCATCCTAGCACTTAGGAGGCTGACGTAGGAGTACGTTAGCTCAAGGACAGCCTTGTCGTACCCAGTGTGACCCTGTCCCAACCAACCAACAAACCAACCAACCAACCAACCAACCAACCAGCCAACCAACCAACCAACCAAATAGCTAAAGGCCGGACTCATTTATATAGTCATAGGATTCATATCTGGGTATATTTAATATAAAATGGTGATAAAATAACATTAGAATTTGATAATAGGGGCTGGAGAGATGGCTCAGCGGTTAAGAGCACTGGCTGTTCTTCCAGAGGTCTTGAGTTCAATTCCCAGCAACCACATGGTGGCTCACAACCATCTGTAATGCAAACTGATGCCCTCTTCTGGTGTGTCTGAAGATAGCTACAGTGTACTCATATAAATCAATAAAAAAAAAAAGAATTTGATAATGTATCACTTCTAGTACTTTTTCTGTTTTTTGAGACAGGGTCTCATGTGTGGCCCCAGAAGGCCTGGGACTCACTATGTAAACCGGCCTGACCTTGCACTCATGATCAGCCATGTCTGCCCCTTGAGTGCTGGGATTAAAGGTGTGCACCACTACCTCTAACCCCTTCTAGTACTTTTTATAGTTATAAATGCTCAAAAAAACTTTTGAAAAAATTATGGTTTTATTTTTTAATTCTATTATCATGACATTAAAGAGATTGATTTTTAAGCAATCTAAAAGTAACGTGACCTGCGTTTTCAATACAGTTGGTTTATCTACGCAGTATAATGCAATTCCCCAACCAGGATCCACATCGTCCACTCAGGAATACGTGACAACATCTGGACTGGTTGAGGGTCCTACTGACTGACACCTAGTGCACAGAGCCAGGGATGTTGCAAAATGTTCTCTACGCACAAGAGAGCTGCTGCGGAGGTTACCTGTCCCGCTGTCAGCAGAGGAGAGCTGCTGCGGTGGTTACCTGTCCCGCTGTCAGCAGAGGAGAAGCTGAGACAGCCTCACCTTTGTGGAAAAGGTCTTGGGTTTCTAAAAACAGAGGAGCCTTCAGCTTCATCTATTCATTTATTTGGAGAGAGTGTACGTGTGTGGTGTAGGGGTGTGCACATGTATGTATGTGTGTGAATGTGTAGACATTCTCTACAGTGCATGCACCCATAGAGGTTAGAGGCTGACATCGTATCTCCTGAGCCACTCTCAAGATGCTGGCTATGAGGCAGGTTTTCATTCAGCCTGGATCTTAAAATAGGTACAGGTAGACAGGCTGGCCAGTGAGCCCTTGTGACCTGCCTTTCTCTGACCCACCCATCTGCAGGGTCCAGATGTGTGCTGCAGGTCTAGCTTTTACCTGGATAGACCTACTTACCTGGCTTTGGGGGATCTACCTAGGTTCTCAGACTTTCACAGTAGGCACATTTCAGATTGAGCCCTCTCTGCACTGCCTCATGGCTCTTGTCACCAAGAGACAGGGACTCACAGCCAACCTCATGTCTCAGCCTCTCCAGTGTTGGAAGAGCAGGTGTGTGTATTTGTGATAACACATTAAAGAAGTGGCTTCTGAGAAAACAACCCATAGTTCATATATAATTCAGTCACATCATATATACACCAGTCAGTGTAAACCAGTTCTTCGCTATCCTGGACCTACATGATGAGGGCTGCTGCTTCTCAAGGCCTTCCGTTAGCTGACAGCTAAGTTGTCTGGTCCAACACAGTCACCTAGTGGCCAGTGTGGGCCACTGCTCCATCTCCTTGATGCTCAACATTCAATTCTACCTCTGGCAGTGCTGCTCTACTACAGAAAGGGAAATAGAACTGTAGCATATATGGTATAAAGTGACAAGACTATGTGAGAAGGCATATCTTTCAGATATTTTAATAAAATGTCAAATACTCTAGTGCTGGCATTTTCTAAAAGTTAAACTAGAACGTTGCAGTGCTTCTGTTTATTCCCTGTGCCATTACAATATGCTTTCTTCTTCAGCAGTTCTGTAGTAATGCAATTCCACACCTGGGCAATCTACTATTTACAGCCAACCAGCACATCAAGTTAGGCCATTAATGAGGAAGAATCCTTTACTTACAGCCCCCAAACCTCTGTGTTTCTAGTCCTGATTAATTGTGAAAACCGTTCTGCTAATTACCAGGCCTACCAGAGCTACAAGCGTTGTCTGATATAGAACTGAAGGGCACAGGAGACTGAAGGCAGACTCCTGAGAACTAGCTGGGGAGTTGTGGAGGCAACTTTTGCTCATCTCGAGGTTTCAGACTTTGCTGGCACTTTAATACAAGGCTGACACTACTGTTCTGGGCCTGCTTTGGTTGAAGCATACCATGGTTGATTTCACACTGAACCACAGATCTCCATGCTTCCAAGAGCATGCTGGATTTTTGTAAGTCGAGGCTGGAGGTGCCTGTGGTGTCCTAGTTGTACAACAAACTATACCAGCAAAGTTAACTACCAGTCATCTTATAACAGGGAAGTCTTCTGAACCTCAAGAGGCACCATAGTGAGACTAACAACAGTTTAAAGATTACTTAGCTTCAACAGGGATGGAAGAATAGTTTCCTCTTTTCCCCAAGTCATTATTTAAAGAGCACACAGTCTTTGAGTAGTTGGAGGATTAGGCTTGCGACAAACTCAGAAAAGTCTGTCCAAACATAGTTTCCCGGCTATACAGCTGGGCCCTGAGTGGCTCCACAACATGTCACAGCAGCCATGATCAACGGCTAATGGAGTGGTCCAGCTGTGTGCTTAGACTTTCTCTCTCCGCTTTGTTGTCCCATCTTTGATGGGACACTTATCTCCATCCTCTCTAGTACAGTCTCCACAGTCTGAAGAGTATTTTGAAACATAAAAAGGCTGCCTTAAATGCAGAAGTTACACTTATTTGTTTTTCTCTTTTAAGTGTCATTTTCTTTCAAAGTTTCTCTTCTCTGAATGCTTACAAACAACAGGAATAGTAGCTACCAGTCACCAGGAGAGAAGCTGTTCACTGCTATAGATCCTGTGCATGTGAGTGTGTGCGTGTGTGCATATCTATGTGCATGTTCATGTTGGGGGGTATGTGTATTGTGTGTGCACGAGTGTGCATGTGTTGTCTGTGTATTTTTTTTCCTTTTTAATATCGTGAATGCTGATACTTTATTTTTCAGAAATGCCATTTCTGAACAGCTCTGTCACCGCTATATTGTCACCCCGTGTGCTGTCAGGGGCTCCGTCGGCTGGGAGCTCATTCTGCAGTCTGCTTTGCTTTTTCTTACCTCTGTTCCGTTTATTTTCTGCATGCTGAAGTGGCTGAGCCTAAACAGTACGTAGTATTTCCAGAGTGTAAAGTTGACCACTGGGTTTCCCTGAGGATCGATTGTCAACTGGTCGACCCGACGAAGCTGTGCGAGGGCGTTGAACTGCTGCAGCATGACAAGGTTGGTCTCCCTGAATTTAAGGTGCTGCAATAATAAACCACACACAAGGTCTCTGCTCTGAGTGTAACCACCTTAAATACTAACATTAACACTCTGCAGGTCATTTCCTGTGGAATCCTGTTAGCTTTAGGCTTAGGAAATATGTTTTCAGTCACATTAAATCAACAGCCTGCTCTAAGCTCCTTTAACTTCAACGTACCCAACCCATCAGACATGGACGGCATCTACCCAAGACTTGAGCTTTAGGTCATTCCTTCAGAGAAGGACATGCTCTTCTGTCAGCAGCCAGGACTCCTTAACGTTATCTAATAACTCAGACTCTTTCCAGCTCTGCAGAGTCTACACATTTTACATTTACTTTAATGTATAAAGGAACATTCCAGAAACCTCTAAGTACAGGACTCACCCTGATGCTGAGAACCAGCACTGTCAACACTGCATCCTTCCAAAAACCATGCTGGTTTCTTAAGTTGGCCAAGGAGAATCAAAACACTACAACAGACACGCTAAAGCAAATGATCTATTTGCAAGTTTGGATATTCTTTCTAAACACCTGCTTCTACTTAACTTATCTTCTTTAGGGATAACAAAGAAGGAAATCCTCTACTGTAAAAGGGTAAACAGAGACACACACTGTAGGAAAAGCTCAAGAGGAAACTCACTGTAACTGCTTCCCAATGCCTATCGGTAACTAGTGCAATACCCACAGTCAGAGGCCGCCATGGAGTCAGCAGACTGAAGTAAACAGTCAGTGCTGTTGGAGGACTGCTGTCAGATCACACAATGAATATACACATGCCATCCACACCGGGTTCGATGCCAGAATACACACTATAGGGCTGTGTGGCCTTCTTCGTGAAACTGAGATAGGTAACGTGCATAGAATTCCATTGGTCTTTTCTACTGCAAGAAGGACTGTCTTTAGAGATATAATTCCTAATACTATACAAGCCCGCAAGGCCATTTATGGAACTAATTTAAATTCCAGTGCCAGAGAATCAACACAGAAGAAACTACAGAAGACGAAGCTGAGGCAGGCTTTGGCCTGAACACACAAGCTGTAATGAAGAACAATTCAAATATACTTCCAAAGGAAAGTGTTTACCAGAGAATTTGGAAACTTCATCTTCAGTTTGGGAAGTACTTGAACAATTTCATCAAACTCGATGAACGTGAATGAGACGGTGGTGACCATGCCAGCTGTTTGAACACTCCAGTTACGATCCAGGCATTCCAGCGCCCCTGAGCCGTACAGCGAAAGGGTTTCTCCATCTATCTCCACCAAGTGTGTTTCTGTGACAGACAAGCCTTGTAACGCACTGCTGAGACCTCCATCTAGAGACCTGCAAAAGTCTTTCTTTAAGTAACATCTCAGGCACACAAAGGAAGTAACAGGCTTGACCGGCGTGTTGGAAAGTGCGTTACAGTTTATACTCATTACCCTCCATCTCCAGTTAAACCCAGAGCATCCTACACTAATTAGATTTTTAAAACTCAGATTGGAAAGTGACAGGCTTGTTGTGGCGTTTTCCTCTTCCCTGATGCTGGGTTTCTTCCCGCTCTCCTCCCCCTCATCCCTCCTCCCTCTCGTCCTTCCCCCCCTCATCCCTCCCTGCTGCTTGCTGCTCCCCTTCCTCCCCACACAGCCTCCCTGTTGTCTTATTATCACATGTATCCTTAGATTAATTTACTGGATTATCTGAAATATTAACATTAACATCCAGTCGTGATTTTAGCTGAAAAATAGGAAAACTATTCATACAAACCTACCTCCAAGTCCAAATTACTCATGATATTAACAATAATTCCATGTACATTAAATCTGTTATTGAGATATTTTAATAACAACATAAATACAGTTTCCCAATTTATAAAGCTGTCTAGCTAGAAAAATACATTTTATAATATGTTTCCATAAGAGTTATAAAATATTATTTATAAAATACAATATAAAATGCTTACAAAATATATAACTTTAAACTGGTTTCTATCTTAGTTACAAAGTTAAGTGAGAAATGCTGACTCTATTTTTGAATAGTATGATTAAAACCTAAAAGTGTATTGTTTAGTTGTAAGCATAAAAATCAACCATGTCTTCCCCCTAAATTGAAGCAAGAGTGATAAAAAAAACAATTATGAGACACACCGTACCATACTGGATACTCTACTGATAGGCCATTCCTGTTATTTCCAAAGCAGCGGCCATGCTGCCCATAAGAGCCAACCTGAGTGGCAGAGAATCAGTAAAGCTCCTTGATCCAACTCAGAATCTTTGCTCTATCAACAGAGGGATAACATATTGTTGCTCCAGCTCAAAACCTGTACAATGCTTGACTTTCCCTGTGTGTTTCCACTGGGCGTTTGTTCTCTGCCCTCGACTGCTCTGTGCACAGCTAGCTGGGACTTGTGCACTAGCTGGGACCAGTGTTTCACATCGCAGACTAATTACAATTATATGCTGGCACGTTTGTTTCCTCCTCTACATAGTGAGTTCATGAAGCTAAAGGCCGTATGTCTTCACATCTGGACCCTGGGGTTCACTAACGGGCTTTCCACAACATAGTAGAAGGATCCTCAGTGGTTAAAATGCTGATGTTGGACAGTAAGTCTGACAAACTGTTACTCACTGGCTTATTAGATTTAGTTCAACGGTCTCAGTGAATTGTTACACATTTGTCTATTCATTAGAAGTTAGCTAATGACCTTTGTGTACTCAAAGTGGATGTACAATCAAGGAACTACACACAGTTATTTTATATGTCATCCTTGTAGTCATTTTCAAAGGATTAAGGTGGGAAATAATCAAATACCCATGCGTAGAGGTGCAGACCAGCCTTAGGTCTAAAAGGGAAAAGCTGATAACAGCACAGACTAAGGAAAGAGCTATCTCCATCTACTGTGGAGACAACATAGAGAGGTGAGGGAGGGGCAGCATGGTTCCGGCTGCGATGGGCAGAAGACAGCAGTCAGCATTTGCTGCACAAAGGAGGGAGAGTGTTGGTACACACTCACAGTGACAGCACTGACAGCAGCACACAACACTGCTCACTGCACACGGCTCCTTGTGTGTCGTGTCTGCCTGTACCACAGCAGAGTCAACATCTAGCAATGCTCAACTCATTAAACAGTTCTTGAATTAATAAACTGAGAAGACGTTCAAGGGCATCTATTAAATCCTTAAAGGATGTTCCAACCGTAGGTATAATAGCGGCAAACAGGCCACAGGACAGAGTGACACGAACACACAATAAGAGCTAACAAGGCTAGCCAGGTGGCTGAAGGAAGGTGAAGGGAAAAGTGGCATTTGCTATGGGTGTGCCTCATGGCCATAGCACCAGACAAAGGTTAATTTTAATGTCAATATAGCAGAGAATTAGCTAGATACCAAAATGATGAGTAAACCTCCTGGGAAGGGATCTTGTTCCATATCAGATATTTATTAGAGGCTGAGTTTTAAAAGAAACATAAACTCAAAAGTAAAAAGTCTAATATCATAAGGTGATAATTTCGTGCACACTTTTGGAAAGCATACCATTGGGAAAAGAGTGAGAAAGTAAATAAGCCTACAGGCTGGATGCTGTGGCATGGTCAGGAAGCAAAGCCAAAGGGAGCCCTCGCTGCTGTAGACCTCCCAGAGATGAGACACGTGGGTGCTGTGCTGTAGACAGCCTCTCTCTTGCCAAGAAGAAACAGAACAGCTGTTACCCAGGTCACACAAGGCCAAGGCAGCTCAGGATGAAGCTGATGGGGTTTGCCTCAAATTCAGGCCACTGCTTACTAATCTGCTTCTCTAACAAGGCATCCTTGACTTCCATAAAAATGATATAGAAAGCTTGTCAAACAACAAACTTTATATGTTTATATGTTGGAAAGTATCCTTCTAGTTTTCCTTATAGGAATGGTCAGTAGGTTCATATCTTTTTTAGTTAGAGATATGCACATATTAATTCATTTGTTCACAGTTCAAAGGCTGCTGTTTTTTAAGACCCAAGCCTGAAAGCTGTTATGTACAAAGCTCTGTGCTAAGTTTTCTGGCACAGGTGACTAAATTATCTGTATTGATAAAGATAGATAAAAGAGCTTGTGCATGTGCAATATACACATATTTGATATAGGTATATGTATATATCAAGATATGTATACATATATATGATATATGTGTGTCTTGATATACATATATATGTGATATATATATACATATATGTATATCAAGACATATATTGTGGTATATACACATATATATGTGATATATCAAGATTATTGCTTGTAAAGCCAAGTTGTGGAGCTATAGTTCTCTGAATATAGCTACTGTAATCCCATCAAGCAAGCAACCTGATACGTGCAGGGCATATAATTTCTAAACTAAAATTACCTTACTACGTCACTGAAGTAATCAATAGGATTTTGCAGAGAGCTTATTATGTATCCGAGGTCTTATGCTAGACACTGGCGATATAAAAAGAAAGCAAGATACGCTTGCCTTCAAAGATTTTCCAATCTGGATAGGGGAGGGAAAAGAAGACAGACATATGCAATAAATATAATGTACTTGTTGTCACAGAATGAGTATTCCAAGTTTAAGCTATGGAAACAGAAGAAGGACAAATTCTTTAGAGGGAGAAGCTGGGCCTCAAAAGGCAGCAGCCTTTGAACTAACCCTTGAGTAGTGGCCACAGTTTTTTTTACCAGGAGCAGACAAGGGGCAAGAGGAAGAAGGGAAGGACAGAAACTTGAACATGTGTAACTGGTGAAAGCTCAATTTCAGTGTGTCCAGACTCTGAGAACAGTAACACGGACAGATAGAATAGTGATGTGGGGGCAAAGCTGGAAAGTCAGAGTCATCCACAGGGATGAAGAGCAGGAAATGTTTTAAGCTTGGGATTTAGCTTGGAAGTAGAATATCATCATGGCTGAGGCCTTGGGTTCAACACCCAGCAAAACACACACAGAGAGAGAGAGAGAGAGAGAGAGGGGGGGAGGGAGGAAGAGAGGTACAGAGCATACACTGTCTGCCTTCAAGGACCCACGTCAGATCTATTAGCACGTGTACTTTGTGAAGGACTTGGGAGGAAGAGGAGAGATGTAGGGAGATTAATATGAAGACCAGAGCAAGGTCAACCAGCTCACAGGAGGGCATGGAAGAAAGACGAGATAACATACAGGAGAGGTGGCATTGTTAAGAAACAGACAGCCTTTGGCTAAGCCTCCAGACCTGCCTGCCACTCTCCCAAGAAGCTTGAGGGCCTCTGAGTTTCAGTTTGTCTATAAATGGTGATCCCAGAACACTGTTTTCAGAGGTTTGTGAAGATTAGAAATAATGAAGGCATGAAACCATGCCTGTATTTAGCTCAGTACACTTAGAGATCACTCTCAATGAATGACAACATATTACCAACTATTTAAGAGAAGATAAAAGGGGACTTACTGGTTGATTAGCCATGAAAAGTGAGGGAAGGAAGAATTAGGAATGAGTTCAGCTTCTAGTAGGTGACTGGATACTGGGTCTGCCCAGACTCCTATCCTCATTCGGCCTGAACCTACACTCTGACAAAGGCAGGGCTTCCTCTGTGGAAATCAAACTTGATTTTGCATAAAGCCAAGCACCTCACGACTTATGTTCCCCAACTCAAAAGTAAGAGATGGCAGACAGTAGACAGCCAACGGGAATTATCTCCAAGCTCTTTGGCGGTTAATTTCAAGCCCAAACATCATCAAACAGCTCGCTTGAAGACAACCAGGGAACCTCCTGTGTCTCTCCAATTACTGGAGCAACCTAAGGAAAGATGAGGGGTTGACTTGATGCAGTAAAGTGTCAAATTCTTAAGAGCCAGGCCATCTGCAGACCACACCCCAATGAACACACTGACCAAAAGGACACTATTCCAGAGGCCTGCATTTTTTTTTTTGTCTTTAGCCTTCTTATACCAGACAAGAACAGGAACACGTCAAGTCTTTCCAAAGATTCTTTTCCCACAGAGTAAGCGGTGCTGATCCCCACAGTAACTCATTTTATGGATTTTCTATTACAGCATTCATGAATGTGGAAATTCATTTTATGCCTTATATTTTCTTATAGTAGCTTTGGCTAAAACACCAGTGTTCATAGACAGGAAATGACCAAAAATAAACCAGCTTCACAGCATGCATCCAATGTAAGCAAAGGAAACAATACACCTAGTATTTTGCCATTTCTGATGGGCAAGAGACCTCTGTAGTGTGCCATTTAATATTGAGCTGTTCCAAGTTCAGAGGACAGTAAAATTATTAATGGGATATAGCAAACTGTTAAAGAAATTATTTTCTTCATATACCCATAATGTTCTCATGCACACTTGTTCCTAGGCATTTAGTTATATGCCCATAGGTCAAAGGTCACGGACACTGGAACACAAGAATGACCTACCTTCCTTTTAGCATTATGAAATCCTAAGGACGATCAATGACGGTTTAAGTGGGAAAGCACTTGTAGCACTTAAGCACACACTGAAACACTAAAGAAAAGACCGTGGCTCTCCATATTAGCTTTCCACCTTTAGGAAAAATGGCTTACCTCACTCCCCACAGGCAAGGGTTAGTTTATTTTAAAGATTTATAAAGAATATAGGAATACAATCTCTAACATTTAAATGATTTACCCTGTACTCTCAGGCAAAGTACCAGCCAGGAATGAGCACACGTGTCCAAATCTCTTCCCTCCAAGGTGCCACTTGGGAATGTAAAATGACTGCAAAGGGATAAAGCCACAGAAGCTGGAGACGGAAGGACGGCTGGCAGCAGGGAGCCCAGCAGTTTTAGGAGGCTGGAAAGTGAAGACTGTCCAGTGCTGAAGGAGGAGACGGGTGGCATCCTTGACTGTAGTGGGAATAAGGTAAAGATGGCAGCCCTTCTGCTGAGAGAGCCCTCCGAGGAATGAACAGAATGGATCGAGAGGTGAGTTGGTGCAGGGGAGTGACTCAAGAGCTGAGGGACTGAGTTCTGTGGAAGGGCTCTCACTAAGAGTGGTGACGCCTTGGCTTAATCCTGAGTGCAGAGGAAAGAAACTCTCACCTCCTCCCATGGTTAAAAACAAAAAACAAACAAACAAACAAAACATCCAGATAGATCCCAATGGGGAAAGGAAAGAGTATTCTGAATTTAACAATTGAGTAAGTGGTTGTTCCCATAGAAGGGAATAAAAAGCTAGCCCTCATCTCAAACATGAAAAGCATGTTTGTACCAAACTGATGTAACAAAGACTGATGAAGACCACACTTTAAACTTTTATGAATGGGAGTTAATTTTTTATAATATCTTTCTTATGCAACATCTAAACGGGTAAGCCACAAAGGAAAAGACACAGTTTGGTGATCTTGTCTGTAATAGGCATTTAAAGCCACCAACCCACACAAGCTTCCTGAGCTAGACAGTGGAGAAGAAGAAAACCCCAGCGCTACAGCGGAGGGATCCTTCCACCTCAGAGGCTGCAAGGACAGAAAGCAAGTGTGGGAAACAGAAGAGGATCTGAGGACAAACCAAAGTTCAGAAAAAAGCCGGTCTACAAGGACTCAAAGAGGACAAGCCTGGACTAGTCAGGGGGACAGCGGACTCAGGAAGTGCGGCTCTATTCCAGAGACAAGAGAAACTTTTGACTGTAGTACAGCTGCATTTCTTTCAGCTCTTAAAATAGGGTGAAATAGGAAATTCCAGATTAAAAACAATTCGTGAAAGAAGGAATGGCTCCGATATGAAGCGCCACAGTGTGGCAAGGTTTGAACAGATTCTGAGCTGTGATGAAAAGGGGGTATCTGAGTCGGATGCTGGGGCTCTTCCCTCTGAGGGATGCAGAAGGGCGTCACGGCGCATAGCTTAACTCTGAAGTCAAAAAACATATGTCCCACAGACATGTCAGCTTCACTGAACAGTTTTCAAGGCTTCAATGCTCTCTGCTGACAAGCTTTGTGCTTGCAGAACAGACGTAATGTTATGGACCTTTCGATGCAGCAGCAGAGATCACAGACTCTAACTAGAGCCCTAAAGAGGGCAGAACTTGTAGACAAGGAGCTAGATTATGGACTCTAGTCTTCTACAAAACAACACGCACCCTAGGAAGATCAGTCACATCCACACTCCCCAAGTTCTGACGTCTAAAAACAGCGTAACTGTAAGAGTACGCGATGAAGAACAAGGGATGGTCTGCCGAATTTCAGCAAGACGGGCTGGCATCCTCACTCCCTGCTCATGTTCTCCTAAGCTGCGGCTTGCTGCTGGCCCTAAAGATGACAGCAACATTCCTGGGGCAGGCTGCAAACAACCAGGGACACGGCACAGGCCACAGTCCTCAAAATTGTGGCAGTGCGCTCCCGTGTCTGAATCTGACCCTTCCATGGCCTGCCCTTGTTGGGCTTGTCTTGAAGCTTCCTTGGGGCTAAGGCAGCAACTGGGTAGCATTTGTCCAGAGCATTTCCAGTGCTGGACTGGGGCTGCCCTGTGTATGCCAGGCAGGTGCTTTCCCACTGACCCACAGCCCAGCCTCTTGTTACTTTCTTGGTCTCTAATTCTGAGATGAAGACTCATTAAGTTGCCCAGGGTAGCGGTGGCCTTGACATTACTCTGTAGCTCAGAATGGTCTTGAACCTGCCATCCTTTGCATCAGCAGCATTAAAGGTGCGTGCAGAAGCTGCTACTCAGGGAACAGGATAACAGATGCAACAGGCAACAAACTCACCCAAAAGCCTAAGGCGGACAAGGCTAGGAAGGGAGGTGCAGGGAAGATGGGAGTTGTCGGATGCTCCCTTGAGCCAGGGTATCTAGGAGCCCATGTGTGTGAACAGAGGGCCTCACGGGCTGCATTTAGTCATCTAGATTTCCCCCCTACAAAAAAATAACAAACCACTAGAGGGCTTTTTCATTAGGGAAATATTATAGGCAGATTTATATTTTCAAATTTTCTCTTCTTAATTTCAACTTTGACTTTTAAAGAAAATTATTCCTCAAAAATAATTATGTACGAAACAGTCCCCCATCTCCATTCTAAATTCAGCTTTCGGAATGGCAGTACTGTGAGAGAATACCATTGCATACCCTGCTTCCTCTGGAAACGCAGAGACGGTGCTTCCATCGATCTGACAGGAGTCCTGAGCAGGAGACTCAGAGTCCTTTCTGTCCTGAGTGTTGGCAATATTGGCAACTCGTTGCTGCAAGTCCCACTTTCGAGCGACATTGTTAATTGTTAACCTCTTCTTCTCCTGTGGGAAGTTAATGGAACGATGGTTATACGGTGCATATTCAGAAGAGAAAAGCACTAGCTTCTGGCACTTTCTGAGAGGGGATTCCTTGCAGGTAAGCAACCAACCCAGCTTCTAAAGCAAGCTCATGAGCCTGTGCTCACTCACCCTGTGATCAAATTTATTAATAACAATGTCAGCCTGCAGGGAAAATTATCTAGAAGATGAATACTTCTTGTTCTGACCAGTGGGCTGTATATTTATTTCACTAACTGAAACTCTGACATGGCAAAGTCTTTAAACAAAGCAAGAGAAAAGTACTAATACTTTCATCTTTTACCCAATAATTAGGGAGGGGGAAGGGTAGGGACTGATTAGTGTTTCATAGTTCATGGTTTAACTTGGTTTTGAAAATATTTATAAAAATATTTGAAATGTGTGAAAATATTTTTATTTACATGTGTTTATATGTAGGTGCCCAGGGAGGCCAGAAGAGAGCATGAGATTCCAGGACTGGAGTTACAAGTGACTGTGAACCACAAAACATGGTTGCTAGGGACTAAACTCAGGTCCTCTGCAGGAGCAGCAACTGCTTCTAGCTGCTGAGCCATCTCTCCAGCCCCCATGGTATAAATCATGACATTTCAGGGTGAACACAATATTATCTAGGCTAATAGAAGAAGTTCTGTTGAGTAAAATCTTTTTCTTGATAACTACTATTATTCTAAAAGAAGAGTCAAATTAAAGCAATGGATGCCTTAGGCAGTGGTTCTCAAGCTCAGGGGGCCTCCGCTAACCTGAAGGGTTTTACAGACAGACACTGAACCCAGCCCCACTTGGAGCCAGTACTTGGAGGGCTCAGAGTCTTCCCTCTATCGGGCTCCAGCACTGCTCACACAGTGAGAGCCCCCGGCCCAGCACTGCTCGCACAGTGAGAGCCCCCGGCCCAGCACTGCTCGCACAGTGAGAGCCCCTGGCCTGGGGTCTTTCAACTGTCTCCTAGCAATCCTGCTGAGAAAAGAAGGCCAAAGCCGAAGGAGCTGTGCTCCATTCACACGTCTCTATTCTGTCGATCCTGCTTATAGCGACTGGGTGAGGGATGCCTATTCTGGTACTATCACCGTTAGTAACGGGAATACTTTATTTTTATTTTCTTTTTTTAAAGATTTATTTATTTTATGGGTATGAATATCTTGCCTGCATGCATGTCTGTGCCGCATGGATGCAGTATCCATGGAGGCCAAAAGAGAATGTCAGATCCCCAGGAAGCAGAGTTACATGGCAGTTGTAAACTGCCACGTAGATGCTGGGAATTGAACCAGTGTCTGATGTAGGAACAGCTAGTATTCTTAACTGATGAGCCATCTCTGCAGCCCTTATTTTCCTTATTTCATAGTGTGGATATATGTGGTGTGTGTGCATATGCATGTGTGTATATGTAGTGTGAGTGTGTGTATATATGTGTCTGTGAATGTGTGTGTGTGTGTGTGTGTGTGTATGTGTGGTGAATCACAAATCACATGTGTGGAGGTTAGAGGACAACTTGCAGGAGTCAGTTCTTACCTTCCAGCATGTGAGTTCTTGGGGCTGAACCCAGGCTGTCAGGATTGGTAGCAAACACCTGTACTTACTGAGCTGTCTTGCTAGTCTCAAAAGTTAAGATTTTAAAATGTCATCTCAGATCAGAATGCTGAAAATAGATTCTTTTTCTCTTTCATTCAAAATCTGCCATTGAAAGACAACCACCAAGTGAGCACTAACCCCTCTGCAGGAGTCTGCTCTGGACCCAGGGAAAGGGGGGTAAGGGCCTTCTCTCCCACTCCCTCTGCACCCGTATAAAGGAAAGCAAGTGCTTCCAGTGGTACTTCTGCATTTGTTTACCGGAAAAGTTTAGCAAGTGTGTGTGACACTGGATAGAAACTGAAAGTGATGGCTTCTTTAATGGAACTAACCTTTTCAAAATTCTATTTCTAGGTTTAGAAATGTTTGGGCCTAAGTTATTTGTTCTGCAGTTTGTTATTTCAACTATCTATGCAGTTAGAGCATTGTAAATACTGTGCGTGTGTTTCTGAACTGACTGACATTTTGTACATAATGTTCTTGCACAGAGCAATTGAAATCCTGCTACAGTACTATACAACACTATTACCCAAATCTAGAATTAAAAAAAAAAAACTTACGATGTAAAATTCTATTTCAGCTATTTGTGGATGGCTATGCCAACCCAACTCCCAATCTAAACAATGCAATTATTTCTATTTAGTGGTAAGACCCTGGGCTGCATGCATTTGGCTTCCTAGCTGGCAGAAAAAAAATCATAATGAGAGAGACAGCAGTGTTTAGAAAAAGTCATAGACTATGTTTCCACCACTGGGTATGTTTACCAATGTGTAAGAAGGTGGTCTCTTAACAAGCAAACATTTCTTGTGCCCACACCAAGTGGAGCTTCCTTTCCTTCAGTTATTAAAAGCAGTCTGGCACTAGGTTGACTAAGTGAGCAGGTAATTTTGTTGGGGTCTGGATAAGGAAAAGGGTGCATTAAGTCAGGAGTCTCTTCTCAGTCAAGTGGGCATCCCTGGTTGGGCAGAGAGCCCTATGGGGGCCCAAGATGCCCATGGATCAAGAAAAAAGGAGCTGAGTTACGCCCTCTGCAAGGCCTGAGAGCATCCAAGTGTGCTCTGTTCCCAGCGACCACAGATGCTTCCACAGCTCAGCTGTATTCATGCCTAGCGTCACTTAGATGGCTGCCAATTGCCAAGTATATGCAGAAGTGAAAACTATCTGGGGAGTGAAGTTCTTTTTCTGCCATTTGAGTCTACTTGTCACTGTCCGGGCAGGACCTCATCAGTGTATGTCACAGTGATCATCTCAAAGGTGGCAGGTGAAACGTGAAGACATGAGGATGCAGCTGCAGACACGGGCTTTGCATGCCATGGCTCCCTCCCACCCAGGCTCCAGCATCTCTGGGGACAGTACTTGCGTCCGCAGGGATGCAGCCTTAGACGTGCTGAAGCTCTGTTCTGATGTGGCTTCAGCTCTCAGCAATGGCTAAATCTGGACCTGCTGAAGCCAACACTTCTCTTACCAAAATCAAAAAGCTAAAGTTCATAATCAGAGCTCCAAGACTTCAAACAAACTGCTATTCTCTAAAGTTGTCACGAAAAGCTTTCCAACTATTCTTTTAAATGTTCGCTAAAATCCATGGCATATCTAATGGTAAGAAGAGCTGAATTGGGGCATATGGGGGTGGGGTGGTAATACTGGGATAAAATTTCAATCCCACAGGAAGTCAGGTTGATCCTGTGTCTGTCCCCGGCTCTGCTCACATGGGCAGGCTGGCAGACATCTAGCTAAACCATCAACAGGACTTCTACGCTCATCCTTCCTTGCCACACTCGGGGTCTATGGCACAGGAGGGCTCAGCAAACTTCATCTTTACCCTATGAATGTATATACATACGTGTCCTGGATTATCACTAACTCACTGACACAGCAGCTGGACAGCGGCGATGGTGTGACATGGAAGGCCATGCGTGTCCCCAACATGAGCAATTTGGGAAGGTTTGCCCACAGTATGGCCTGGCAATGCTTAGAACTATTACTGCAGCTATATTTTTATAAACAAAATATTAAAAATGTATTTTTGATAAACTCTTAGGAGTAGTCCAACATAAGAAAGTTAAAATCTGAACTTCCGGTCTGGGCCCAAGCACAGAGCAGATATCAGGCAGCAGCTCTGTACTCAACTTCACAAAACCTAGAGGAAGAGGGCATCCCAGGAGCTTTAACTCAGGCAGCATCTCAGGTAAGGAGACAGCAACACCCACCCCAAACAGGGGGTGACTGAGACCCACTGGGACCCAGGAATTCACTCCTGGCCCGGAGCACATGCTCCTTCCAGTCTGGGCCCGAGCACTCGGCAGATCCCAGGAGACAGCTCTGCATCCAATCTCACAGAACCCAGAGGAAGTATGGCTCCCAGGAGCTCTAACCTGAGCAGTATCCTAGGCAAGGAGGCTGCAACACCTGCCCCAAACAGGGAGTAACTGGGACCCAGGAATTCACTCCTGGCCCAGAGCACGGGTTCCTTCCGGTCTCCACCTGAGCACTGAGCAATCTTGAGCCTCAGCTCTAACCACAGCAGCAAAACCCACTCCAAACAGTTCTGACACAACCTAGATAATAGGAAAGACAGGCTCCAGTCAGATAGCACAGATAGCACAAAGGAGATCCAGATGGCGAAAGGCAAGCGCAAGAACACAAGCACCAGCAACCCAAGGCTCTTGCCATCATCAGAACCTAGTTCTCCCACATTAGAAAGTCCTGAACTCCCCATATCACCAGGAAAGCAAGAACCAGATCTAAAATCACTTCTAATGATGATGATAGAGGACTTTAAGAAGGACATAAATAACACTCTCAAAAAATTTGAGAACACAGGTAAACAGGTAGAAGCCCTTAAAGAGGAAACACAAAAATCCCTTAAAGAATTACCAACCCTACATCTGATAAAGGGCTAATATCCAAGGTGTACAAAGAACTGAAGAAATTAGACTCTAGACAATCAAAGAACCCTATTAAAAAATGGAGCACAGAGCTGAACAAAGAATTCTCAACTGAGGAAGCTCGAATGGTTGAGAAGCACCTAAAGAATTGTTCAGCATCCCTAGTGATCAGGGAAATGTAAATGAAAACAACACTGAGATTCCACCTCACACCAGTCAGAATGGCTAAGATAAAAAACACAGGGGACAGCAGATGTTGGCGAGGATGTGGAGAAAGAGGAATACTCCTCCACTGTTGGTGGGATTGTAAACTGGTACAATCACTATGGAAAGCAGTCTGGCGGTATCTCAGAAAATTGAACATAGTGTTACCTGAGGACCCAGCTATACCACTCCTGGGTATATACCCAAAAGATGTTTCAACATGCAACAGGGAGACATGCTCCACTATGTTCATAGCAGCCTTATTTATAATAGCCAGAAGTTGGAAAGAACCCAGATGTCCTTCAACAGAAGAATGGATGCCGAAAATGTGGTACATTTATACAATGGAGTACTACTCAGCTATTAAAAACAATGAGTTCATGAAATTCTTAGGCAAATGGATGGAGCTGGAAAATATCATCTTGAGTGAAGTGACCCAATCTCAAAAGAACATACATGGTATGCACTCACTGATAAGTGGCTATTAGCCCAAAAGCTCACAATACCTAAGACACAACGCATAGACCACAGAAACTCAAGAAGAAGAAGAAAGACCAAAGTGTGGGTGCTTTGGTCCTTTCTAGAAGGAGTATCAAAAGTTTCAACCAGAGCTCCCAAAGTCTAAACCTCCAGCCTGAGAGCACCAAGGGAGGGATTCATGTCTCCACCTGTATAGGTAATTGAGGGTGGCCTTGTCAGACATCAGTGGAAGTGGAGGGCCATGGTCCCCAAAAGTTTGGATTCCCTAGTGTTGGGGAATTCGAGAGCAGGGAGATGGGACTAGGAGGTTGTTTGGAGCACACTCTCATAAAAATAGGAGGAACGGGTATGGGATAAGGGATTTTGGGGGAGAATGGGAGAGGAGATAACATTGAAAGGTAAATATGTAAAATATCCAATAAAAAAACAGATAAAGGGTCTGAAAAAAAAAGAGAGAGAGTTTACTTAATTCATATTATTTTCAAGAGTTTTTAGGAGATGCTAACTGGATAAGATCTTATTTTAAGCTCTCCACAAAAGAATTTAAGTCTCTGTTTAATATTCTCAAGAGAGAGGTAAACCCTAATTTCTCTCAACAATTAATTGACAAAAGAGAAGTAATCTCACAAAAAGTAGAAGAAGCTATTATTAATCGATATATTATATAGTCTGATTAGTTGTCGGCTGTGCTATAACAGTCCTTTGATAAAAGAGATTATTAATATAGATTTATATTTCTTTAAATAATGTCCGCATGACTCTCTTAGTGTGGAAGGAGCGACTGTTGGTGCTTCTGTCCTGATTTTACAAGAACCCTGAAAAATTGGCTTTAAAAACAAAAGAGGGGGAACGGTACCCGACCCCCAGAAGGAGTCCCCCTGAAATACTCTCCATCATGCCTTGTTCACTTTTAACTCTCTAAAACTGAAAGCTCATGGCAAATCTGCTGCTGACTGCCTCTGGCATCACTGAGACCAATAAAAACTATGCCACAGATATGGGGAAGGACCCTCTTACCCTTAAAGGGAATGGCCCAGACCCAGTTCCCTTATGGGGCTGAGGATTGATATGCCTGTTTGATACCACAGAAGGCACAGCTAATTGGCTACCAAAAAGATTTTTGAAATAAATAGATACCCCCACAAAGCTAGACCCAACCATAAATAAAATGAATAACAATTTACATCCAGGGAAGAGAAATCTCCCTGAGAATATCCTTCTTTTTCCTTTCCAGGTAAAAATGAATCACCCATGATGTCTGCTGTTAGAAGTTCTAATCCAGATGCTGGCCTCCAAATTTATACTACTCAGACCTTTGAAGGGCCACTGACAAGAACATCAAACAGCTAGAGATTGACATCACTAATCTGAAGAAATCCCTCGTTTCACTGTCTGAAGAGACCTCCTAAAATCGAAAAGATCCTTATGGGACTTGATTTACTCTATTATAATAGAAAAGGCTGTGTACAGCTCTTGACTGTGTACAGCCCTTAAATAAGAATGTTGCCTTTACATAGACAAGACAGGGATGGTTAAAGAGAGCATGAAAAAGGTCAGAGAAGGCCCTGAAAAAAGTCAGAGAGAGAAAGAGAAAGATGAGTGCTGGTACAAGAATTGGTTTTCAACCTCTCCAGGGTTGTCAACCCTACCTCCTCTGATCTTGGGACCATTATTTGGGTTCTTTTTGCTTATTTCTTCTGGTCCCTGGGCCTCAAATAGGCTGACTAACTCTGTGAAACAACAGATAAAAAATTTGGTAGCAAAACCTATTCAGATATATTATCATAAGTTAGCTATGGAGGACCACAAGACTCAAGATGAGGTTGTTACTTTATCCAGGGTGTTCCCAAAACCCATCTCCACCCAGCCTAAAAGAGGGGACTTCTACCCCTAGACCAAGCAGAGAGGGGCCACCCAGAACCCCCTCTGACAGGCGATCTGAATTCTTGCTTAGGCTGCAAGGCTAAGCACTGCAAGGGAATATCAATAAAAGTTAAAAATATCTCTCTGGGTTCCCTGAGGGACAAGCCTGACTGCATAGGGGTTGATGTCAAAAGTATCCCCTCTCTAGGAAAAAGACATCGGGACAGGTATGGCCCTCATGCCTCCCTGGACAACAACAGGGGAACCAGAGCCATTACAAGGTCCCCTTCAATTACTAGAGGTCAGGTCTCTATCCCCGCCTTTGCAAGATTAGATTCACCACAGCCCGTCTATACTTAGAGAAGGGAGGAGATGTCAGGGGCATCCCTGCTTACACACTGAAGGCCTAAAATCAGCCATAGGCCTAAAATCAGCAATAGGCCTGTCATACATGTATACTAACACCAAGTCTTGGGTCTCTGTGGAAAAACACTGAAACAGATGGCTATAAGCTATTGTAAACAGGCAGTTTTTGTGACAATTTACCAGCCTGAGTAGTCATAGACCTTGTAAATAGGTAGCCTTGGCAGACAATACCAACTTAGATAAGGACAGGTGAATCATAGGCAGAGTCATAGCAACCTGTCCCCTGAATCCCTCACCCAGCCGATACCCTGTTCTGAAAGATATCTGTATTCCCCCTGAACACCCATGCTCCAGTGTCATCCCCTTCCCCACGTCCTGACTTTTTGTGTTTATAACCCCTGTGTGAATGAGTATAAATTACAATTTGAAAAAATAAATTATATTTTATATATATATATATATATATATATATATATATATATTTAAAATCTGCTTAGGCAATGAGTAAAGAGGCATCTGTGACAGGAGAAGGCTTAGGCACACCGACAAAGGAACCAGGGAGAACTACGAAGAGCAGGGGAGGAGCTGGGGACAGAGGGAACAGAAAGGAAGGGAATTGTGTGCAGTTGGCACATTAGTGATAGTTACTTTCAAATCTGTTGTCTTGATATGCAGGGTGTTGAGGACAGGTTTTGATGTTAATTTACAAATCATTTTCATAGCACAGAACAATCTACGGCATGTCCTTGTATAGGCTGGGTCCCTACCACAGAACACAGCCACCTGAGGGAACTAAGTGCAGATCATACACTAACTGTCCTTTCTGGTCACTGAATTTTTCATGTCACTTTAAAGAGAAAAGCACTTACATAAGAAAAGAAATACTGACCAGAACAACAGCTTAATTTAGAACTCGGTGTGACATAGCTAAAGGCTAGCCATTCTAACCTGTCTTTATCAAACTCTGTGATGGTAACATGAAGTATTTCATGAGAAATCACTACTCAGGGAAGTTGATATCAGATATGCTTGATCACGTAGAAATACTTTAAAATAAATTTTTCATTTCTGAATTCCTCAAGATTCTCATTATTTCTGTATCAAAGGAGCTAATGGAGAAACACGTTGGGTTTTACTAGCTGCCATTAAAACCTCAGAGCAATGCTCATAAAAGCATATCAGTAAAAGTGACTGTCAATCACGGAGCTATCCAAAGTGGCATGCTAATGCCAGGCGATACACAGAAAGCCAGGCTGCCATGAAAAACGCCCTACTTCCCTTTATATCGCCACCACCCCCTTTCTTCTACAATGCCCATCTTGTACATCTTTATCTCAGGGCACCTCTGTCCTTCCTAAGTGCAGGGCTCGTCACCGTAGTAACCCATGAGAGTTCCCAGGAGTGCTTGCTTACAAAACACAAACTTAGTTTTGAAAGCCATGTTCCTGTGTGCTGGCCAGCGTCGGGGTGTCCTCCTGTGCAAGTGGAGGCCGCACTGAAGGATGTACCTTCAGCAAGGACTGCTTGTGACTCTCCCTCTTCTTCTCCTCCTCTTTTTTGGCCACAACAGATGCCACGCGTCTTTCTTCTTCCTAGAAAAAAAAAATTATGTTAGAGAAAGTATCCTGAGGAGTTACCCGTATTGCAATGAGGTGTTGTGCTAACAGAAAAGAGTCCCTGGAAGGAAGGTTGGAATTTTCTTTATACTTTCTTATCACTTCCTAATTCTAAAAAGAAGTGTGTATTTGTAAATCTACACCTATTCTGTATATGAACTACATCAGCTAATTAATACAAGAAAGCAAACAGTAAGAGAAAGAAAGGAGGAGCCAGATATTTGTCAATGATACTTCAATAAAGACGGCGGGGGTGGGGGGGCTTCTGAAAAGAATCCAGGACATATCAGAAAGATCACTCACCACACTCAAGTTGGCTTTATTTCAGAGATGGAGGGATGGCTCAATATATAAGAATCAATAAATAGTGTATACTACTATATATATATATCTCAAAAAAGCTGAAAGACAGAAAGATGGATCATTCAATTTGATAGGTACAGAAAAGCCTTTAAAAAAAAATCCAACATCCCTTCATAGTAAGAGTCTTAAAGAAAGTTGGAACAGAAAGACCACATCTCAACATGATAAAGACAACACAACTAACCAGCAGCCAACATTATAGTACATGGAGGACTGCCTACGAGCATTCCCACTGAAGTTGGGAACAAGGCGTGGGTGTCCACTTTCTCCATCCTTAGTCAATATAGTAATAGAAGTCTAAGCTATAGCAGTTAGACAAGAGAGGCAAATCATACAGATACAGACAGGAAGGAGAGAAGTCAGAGCATCTCTATTTGCAGGTGGTACAGTCCTATACTTCGGAGATTCTAAAGACTCCATAGGAGTCTGATAAATGCCTTTACCAAAGTGCCAGGATAAAAAAATTAATATACAAAGTGAGTAGCCTGTCTATATACCATTGCCGAAAATAGTGAGAACGAAACCAGGGAAACAATTCCATGTGTACTACCCTCAAAAGAAACAGGGGAAGGTACTAGGTGATGGGTAGACCTCCCTACACCCATGCTCATGAATCAGAACGAATATCCTGAAAATGGCCACCCTACCAAAAGGAATCTACAGATTGAATGCAATCCCAGTCAACATTCCAGGGACATTCTTCACAGAAATAAAAAAAAAAAAATCTTAAAGTTCAGAATGTACTAAAACAAACAAACAACAACCAAACCAAACCAAACCAAACCCCAACAAAGTAGTGCAGGAGGCACTACTGCCTGACCACACCTGACTTCGAGTCTTAGTACAGAGCCAGAAAATAAAAACAGCATCGTAGTGACACAAATGAACTCCCGGGGGGAGGGGGTGGGAATGGAAAAGGAGGAAAGGAAGGGAAGGAGGGAAGGGAGAAAAAAAAGAAATTTGAAGAAATGAAGAAGGAAAGCTCTGAAAGGCACTGGTTCACAGTGAAACACACAGTGATAAAAGCTGGCCAGAGATGGCCTTGCTGGAAGTGTAACTTGTAATGTTGCTGTCTAAATAAAGGCTTTCTTAAGTTTGCTTGTCTAATTTTAGAGACCAAAAAAGAGCTTAGAGTTGACCAGTCTTTGTCATGTGACCAAGGTGTTTTAAAGAGAGTGGAAATTCAATGTGAATTTTGATAATTTTAAAGTTTTTTTTGTTTGTTTGTTTTTGTTTTTTAACAGTATAAGTAAAAAGGAGAAATTAGCAAAAATTTCAGAACTTTGCTTCCTAGCCTCACAAAATAGCTGATTTAGTAATTAGGCCAGATTTTTAGCCAAATTTTAGTTTATTTACTAACACTGCTGAGTGTTGACCACTATTCTCTGTTAGAGGTGGTCTAAATGAAAATATTTCCTATCTTTCTAGAAAAATAAAGCATTATGCCTGGGATTTTACAGCTTGTGTCGCTTTTAGAGCCGTGGAGCACCGTGGATGTTTACAGCTCTCTACTGAGGTGGTCGCTCACCTGCCTTTCCAGTTAACCTTAAATCCCACCCAGCCTGCACCGGGGCCACTGCTGAAACCATGGCCAGGAACTAACTATTCTGGGCAGATTCTGAGGCAGGAGAAGGACACGCTGCCCCAGAGGCCTCATCTAGAAGACACAGACTAGAAACATCAGTTACTGCAAGGGCCAGAGGCAAAGGCTACGGAAGTGTGTGGATCTCGCAGGGTGTGTGCTTCAAGGATGATCTCATCTGACTGCCAGAGAGAATGGGTGTCTGTTAAAGGCAGTAGGACTTTAAAAGGAATTCTAAACCCTGGAAAACTGGATTTACACCAAATCCATTTAAGCATTGAAAGTTTTAAGGATATGTATGTATGTATGTATGTATGTATTTATGTATTGTACATATATATATATATTTACATTTGATAATTGTATTTTAGTACACATAATTTCCAAATAGCTAACTTTACAAATAAAAAACCTGAATCTCTAATTGTGAAGATGGTCCATGAATCTGTTGGCAAGAAGGAAAAGAAAAGCAGGGACTACTTCTGGCATCTCCAAGAGACCAGTTCAGACTCTGGAGGAAAGCCACACCCATGCTTTATGTAGTTAAGAAGAGACCTATCTGAACTAAGAGATTTAGGCTGTTTAATGACTTTAGCTTGGTGTACCTGTGTTTGCACGCACACACGCATGTGCGCGTGTACAAATGTACATACACAAATATGCACAAAACAAAAATAGTTTGAAAGATGTTTATTTCTTGACTATTCAGAAGAGGGAATGTTTAAGGTATCTTATATTCAGGTCAGGTTTCCATGATGACCAGAGCGTGGGAAAAGCATAAAGAATCATTAACAGATGGCTTCTAAACATCTTTTCCTGGGGATGACACAAATTAATGATATATTTCAGTAGCCAAAGCAACTTACATGACCACATGTGACTTGAGGCCTAAAGAAAGCCTCTTCCACACGCCACAAAAGAAGAGCCCCACTCTCAGTGCCATGAGTGATGTCAGACTTTGTAATGTCTTATTTTTTGGAGATCAAAGTTTACATTAAACAAACTAAACACGAGCCTGAGGTGAACGGTCTGACACGTATGATTTCCCCCTAGAATTGTGATTACATCTGCCTTCACAAAGTGTCTTAGACAAAAAGTCTTTTTAAAAAAAGTTTTTACTTTTATTATGCATGTATATATGTGTTGTTTGTGTGTCTACCCTCTCTACGTGTGAGGATCCTTGGAGTCCCTGAAACTGCAATTATAGACAGTTACACTCTCTGGATATGGGTGCTGTGAGCCTAGCCCTCCCCAAATTTTTTGTGTAATGGTCTTTTTTCTTCCTTTTCAGAATGTGTCTGCTCTGTTCTTTTTTGATCAGGGATGAGAGCTATTACACCCACTCCAATGTCTTCTTTCTACTGTCTCTGTTCAAGCCAGGTGCCCTAGAAAGGATGCCAATGACGACTGCTACCTGCCTAAAACCCAACTGTAGCTCAGAGCTGGCGGGGCACTCGGTGGGCAGGGATTGCCGTGTAAGCATGAAGACCAAGAGGTAAGAGCACCAGCACCCGTGTGAATGCCAGGTGGGCATGGCGGCCACCTTATAATTCCGGCATCCTGCATCCCAGGGGAAGCTGGCTACCCAGACTAGCCAATCACTGAGCTCTGGGTTCAAATGAGAAACCCTGCCTCAGGAAACAAAGCAGAGAGTGACTGTGGAAGACTCCTGACAGCAACCTCTGGCCTCTACCTACACACACATGTGTACCCATACACACACACACACACACGCACACGCACACGCACACGCACACACTCACACAAATCACATACATGAACACCCTAAAAACAATAGTTGAGTAATCAGACCATTGAAGAAAAAATTGGGAGATTATTCTATTTCTTGATTTCTTTGTTTCTACAAATGAATATAGTTTGAAGCCATGTTAGCTATCATTTCATAATTCACTCAATTTGGTGCAATCTTTTCCACACATAGGGAATCATCCAGTCTCCACCCTCGGGGATTTTTCAGTCTTCTTGTTGTTATAAGGAAACATTCTTAACATGTGTAGGGATTCTTCCAACTGATAATGATGGAAAGTCAATTTTTCAAAGTTTTCAAAAATTTTTACCTTCTTAGATTCTTCTCATTTTGCTTGAAAAAAAAGTCATCAAAATTTTTCTGTAAAAGACGCAGAACTGGGCCAACATAATGAGTGCATATCTCACCCAGCGCCCAGCAGGCAGACCTCTGTGAACTGGAGGCCAGTCTGGTCTTCATAGAGATTTCTAGGCTATCGGGGGGATACATAGAAAGACCCAGTCTCAAAGCAGCAATGACAAATAAAATAAATAAAACTACAGGGACTAGAGCGACAGTCCGGTGGTTAAGAGTATAAGCTAGTCTCCCAGGGGTCTTGGGTTTAATTCCCATGCCCACATAACTGTCTGTAATTCCCAAGGGATCCAACACCTTCTTCTGGACTCTATGAGGACTAAACATGCACGTGGTACAAAGATATACATACAGACAAGATACTCATACACATAAACAAAAAAAGTTAAAAATAAAAAAATACATGCATGCATTGTACACATCCACACAATACAACTCTAAAAAAAAAGTTAAAAATAAAAATATAAAAAGCAGATAAAAATGGATAATTTGCATTCTGCTACATGCAGACTGCCAGTTAGATCAGCACCATTTGTTGAAGATGCTTTCTTTCTTTCACTGAATGGTTTTGGCTTCTTTATCAAATGATCAAGTGACCATAGTTCTGTGGGTTCATTTCTGGGTCTTCAATTCTATTCCATTGATCGACCTGCCTGTCTCTGTACCAATACCATTCGGTTTTTTATCACTATTGCTCTGTAGTACAGCTTGAGGTTAGGGATGGTAATTTCCCCAGAGTTCTTTTATTGTTAAGAATTGTTTTCGCTATCCTGGGTTTTTGGTTATTTCATATGAAGTTAGGAGATAGAATCTGAAGAGACCAACTTCAGTAAACAGACATGGCCCCCAGTTGAGAGATGAGGCCATGAACACATCTCAAAATTTTTAACCCAGGAAATACAGGAACAAAAAATGGACCAGAGACTGAAGGAAAGGCCATCCAGAGACCATCCCACGTTGGGATCCATCTCATCTGCAGACACCAAACCCCAACATTATTGCTGATGCCAAGATGTGCTTGCAGACAGGAGCCTGGCATGGATGTCCTCCGAGAGGCTCTGCCAGCATCTGACTAAGACAGAGATGCAGATACTCACACCCAACCACTGGACTAAGCCCCGGGACCCCAATAGAAGAGTTAAGGGAAAGACTGAAGGAGCTGAAGGGGATTGCAACCCCATAGGAAAAACAACAGTATTAACTAATTGGACCCCTCAGAGCTCCCAGGGACTAAGCCACCAACCAAAAGAGCATAGATGGGTCAGTTCGTGGCTCCTGATACATATGTAGTAGAGGACTACCTTACCTGGCATCAGTGGGAGGGGATGCTCTTGGTCCATGGAGGCTTGATGCCCAGAGAAGGGGGATGCAGGAAGGGTGAGGTGGGAGTGGGTGAACACCCTCTTAGAGGCAAAGGGGAAGAGGGAGATGGTTGGGGGTTCGTGGAGAGGAGACCGAGAAGGGGGACATTTGAAATGTAAATAAATAAAATAATTCATCTTTTTAAAAAAGCTACTACTGTATTAGATTTCTATAACACCCCACGTGAGGATCAAACAGGGAAGGCAAGCAAAGACTGGGTGAAGAACAGCTAAATTGTATAATATATATATATATATATATATATGTATATATATATATATATATATATATGCGCCATATTTAGGCTTTGTGAGCCATATATGATTTTGTACTCAAATATTTCTTTGCTTTCTTTTATTTTAAGTAACGTTTTAAAACTATCAAACACTGTGCTTAGCTTGACAGCCATATGAAAATGGCCTCGGGTGGATTTGCTACAGGGTAGCATTTACAAACCCTGTCTTATGCTGTTAAACGTCTTCTTGGTCCTGATTGATCACCCTATAGATCATCACTCTAACTTCTCCAGTTTCCATCCTCATATACTTTATCAGGGTGATATCAATATTCTCTTATCTAGACACTAACGGTCGATACACTGGGCTGTGGGAAATCCTTTGGTTGATCAGCGCAGACTTCTGGGAGGCTGACATCTATCAGCTCCTCTGTGCTCTGTGGTCTATGAGAATCGAGCACCCAGGCACCCAGCTTAGCTCAAAATAATAGCAACAAACTTGATCAAATGCTTTGCTCAAATACCAAGATATGGTCATACCTATCTCTGAGAGGGATGGATACTAATAATACTATTAGTATCTGTTAATTTATAATAATCTAATGACACTAATAACCAGCCTGCTTTGACTGCTGTGTTATATGCACACACTGTAACTATGTCCTGTCCCACAAATATGAACAGGTATCATGTCAACTGAAAATGTTTGTTTCAAAAGTGAATTCATTTTGCCTGAAAGGAAGGGTGCTCAGTGAACTGACACTGCCTCCTAGTGAGCACCGCCTGAAGACACAGGTTCTAGTTCCCTCCATCAACCTCAAGCTGCCACAACTGGGGATTTTATATTCTTTCCTATTGTGACAAGACACGTGTTCTCCTTTATTACATATGAAATTTATAAAATTTTCCATGAATTAAAAACAAGTCATCATTGGAGCGTAGTAAATCCACCTCCACCCTGCAGCACTCTGTGCAGCAGAGAAGGAAGGGGAGGGGCATCCGTAGAGTGCCTGTTTGTATCAGAAAGGGAAGGGGATGGTTTCTTTCTCTAAACACTGTATATTGCTAAGACAGATGTCGGATGTACAACAGTACTCCCTCATACTCAACTACTTAGAGGGCTAGCTGTACATCTTTTCTGCATCGTTTTCAGCCAGAAGGGTAATCAGAAGTATCAAGAATGCTCAATGAAAACAGATGTGGAGATAAGGGAACGAGAAGCCCCTAAAATACAAATCACTGTTGAGAGCAAACGTCTGAGTAAACAGAGGACAAAGAACTGTCTCCATCCTGTTAGCAGAGCATGAGGAAACCCAGGACGGACCCATTGTACTCACGAATTTATCTCCATGTTTAGCTATCTGCCACTACTCAGGAAGCCCACAGTGTCGCTAAATATCAATGGAAATAACATACACTTCCATTGTGTAGGACAAGGACACTGATATTTAAAGAGTAAGTCATGGGGCAATCGAGTTAACCTGCTGCAGAAGCCACACTAAATTGCAGTTTGTGGGAGGGGAAACAAGTAGAGGTTTGGTAATATTTTCGAGGACAGAGATGACCACACTGAGAATACCCTTGCATATTTTCTGAGAAAGCAAATACTTCATTAAATGTGAACTGTCATGAAAGAGATGGGGGAAGGTCTCATCACTACAGAATTTCCTGGAGCCGGTGCCAGACTGTTACACTCTATACACTGGAGAATCATATACAGATTCTCTTTCAGCAGTGGCCACATCACAATGTCTCACTATAGAAGATACAAACCAGAAACGGGATGACTAGAAAAGGCTGCACTCGGAGATAACAGCGACCCCAGAACTACACAGAGCGCTCACTTGGGAAGCTCGGCTTTGTCCTTTCAAAATAAATTACTAGCTAAATATGGAACAAAATACAAAAGTAAATATAGAGCTTGATTTAAATATAAGCCTAAAGATTTTAAAGTTTTATTTGATGAAACTGGATGGGAGTGATGGTTTAAATAAACAACCTGCACTTAAAATAATGAAGTTTATAATCACAATACCCCATAGTTTTATAATTAGAAAACTAACAAGCACTCATACAACTGGAACCCCAATTTCCTAAGCCACACACAAGGAAGCAGCAAGGTACACAGAAGGCCACACTCAGGGGAGCAGGGAGGGTCCATGGGAGGCACAGTCAGGGAGCAGGGAGGGTCCGTGGGAGGCACAGCCAGGGAGCAGGGAGGGTCCGTGGGAGGCACACTCGGGGAACAGGATCCCTGGGAGGCACACTCAGGGGTTCTGCAGATGCACAGACGGGCACTCACCGTGATTCTCTTCATGTCTAGCTGACGCAGCTGCATCATATTCTGAAGGACCGTGTGTTTGTACCATGACTCTTGAGCTATTGGGTTGCCATCAAAGGTGATGTCCGAGAGGGAAGTTGACTCGGCAAGGCAGGAAACACTTTCAAAGCTGCAGAAGAGATGCCACCACATTATTCTGAGACCTTTTAAGAAATATTTCCAGTTTTTAAAAATAAGACTTTGTTTTGGTTTTGGTATTTTGAGACGTCTTGCTATATAACCCTGACTGGCATGGAACTTACTAGGTAGACAACTATCCTCGGCCGCTCATGCTAGGAATAAAGACATGTGCCACCACGTACAGAATGTTCAACAGACCTTTTAAAGATCTACAGAAAAACTGGGAAGATATACAGAGTTCCCCTACACTGCATTCCTCTCGGTGTTTCTCCAGTTAAATACACACGTGAATGCACGTGAATATCTACAGTTAGTGCCCCCACGGTTTCTGGCACTGCGATACTCTCTGAACTCACGCACTCCTTGCCTCATTCCTGAAAGAGTCGTTTCTCAACACAGCAGTTCCTTATACTGGGAATGGGGTCGCCAGCAAGGCCTGGGAGGAAAACATACTTTCTTACCCTTGTAGCGCTGCTACTTTTAGGCCCCTCAGCTAGAGAGGGAATATGTGCACACTGCCCTGTGTGTGCACACTGCCCTGTGTGTATGCATGACACACCTCCTCATTCAAACAGGGAGGGACCTGGCTCATACCACCCACTACCCACTTACTGGAATTCTCTATTTCAGCATGTGTGTGTGTGTCACTAAATTCTTTAAACTGTACCCACAAAATTATTTTCTTGTTCAGATGATTGTGCTTAAGTGTCTAGCCCCATTCCCAGTGTTATGTAGGCCACCTCGGCCCTCCATACCCGGGATTACCTCATATGCTTGCAATATAGTCAGAACTTAGGAGAGGCAGAACCTGCAGCTTTTCCTGGGATCTCCATGTCCCTGGATAACGTTTTTACAAGTTTTATACCTTGAGGCTCAGCCTCTAGAGCTCTAACATCCCATGACTTGTGACAAACGCATGTGGTGGGATGCGTTTACTACTAAAGTACTATCCAAAATAATTTCATGATCTTCTGAAACTCCCCTGTGTTTTACCCCATCCCTCAAATTCCTGGTAAGCACCAATCATTTTACTCTTGAGTTCCTCAATTTACAACATGTTGGATGGCTGATATCATGTACTATGATATAGTCTTCCGGATGGACTTCTTTTATTTGGCAGTATACAGTTAACAGGCATCCATTCATGTCTTCTCGTGGCTTCATGGTGCGTTTCTTTTCATAACTGAGTATATTCCACTGTATGAGTGTATCCCTTTCTCCACTCAGCTACAGAGGTTGGTGAGTGAAGCTGCTGTGAATCCTTGGCCACAGCTGTCTGTGTGCACATGGTTTAACCTCAGCTGGATACATATCAAAAATACAGCTGCTAGGTCACACATAAAGATGGTTAGTTGACTGTGTGAGAAACTCATCTGGTATTACCGGCTCTCCCTCCCTGCCAGCATGTGGATTTCTGGATGCTAACTGCCCCTCCAGAAGATCAGTGGTATGGCGAGTTTTACTCTACAGTTCCCCAGTGACGAGTGACTAGAGCATCTCACAGCACATCTGCTCTCACTGTATCTTCCTGCTGTTTTCAGAGCCTTTGCTCATTTTAAGTGGATTCTTTGTTTTCTTATTGTTGAGCTTTACAAGATATTTTTTCAAATATATTATGGTTATCTGTCCTTTACCAGATGTATACCTTGCGAATATTTATTAGGTTTCTTTAAAAATATGTACTCGTTTATGTAGTGTGTGCATGGCTCTGTACATGCCAAGGCACAGGCATGAAGGCCAGAGGAAAACCGTGAGAGCCAATTCTCCCCCTTCCAGCATACGGGTCCCAGGGATCATCAGCTCAAGCCCTCAGGCGTGGCAGTGCATGCTTTTACCTGCAGAGCCAGCTCCCTGGCCCCTCTTCATTCTTCACAGTGTCCTTCACAGAGCAGGAGGTTTTAATTTTAACAATATGTAACTTAGTAATTTTTGTGGTTTTTTTAGATCCTGTTTTGGTTCCTGAAGGCTGTCTGGGTTTTCTTCTACAATTTACAGTTTTACATTTAGGCCTACAACCCATTTTGAGTTAGTTTAATAAAAGGTCCAAATCCACATCTCCCCACACTGATTGCCTGTCTGCTTTCTTCGTTGAGGTCCATATGGCTGTATTCTCAGACCTGTACTTCATTCCACTGATAAATGTGTGTATTCTTTACCACTGCCCCACTGCCTCAAATGCTGTGACTTCAGGCTAAGTCTCTATAATGCAGCTGTGCAATGATTCTAAACACATCATAGTTCACTCTGTGAAGGACATATGTCATTGGCAAGAATATGAAGCATAGCCTTCCTTCCCACGGAAATGTGACACTGTACCTAATCAGGCCATAGGTAAATAACTGTCTTCAGCTACTAGACTTCAAATATGTGTGAGTCCACACTCCTCACAGACAACCTGAAGATCTAGCCTATGGCAGGGCTACCTCTGTCAGCTGTAAGCCATTCTCCCATCTCACTCCCAGCACCAATTCCACTTGTGAATGTGCAGGGACCCTGTGTGCCAACATGGATTGTGCCTATCCTGATCAAACCCCCCTTCATGAGAACATGTCATGGAAAAATACTCTTCAGCTTAATTGGATTTTCTGTCTACAAGGGCTTCCTTGCATCTACGCCAGCACCTAGACTATAATAATTGGGTTCTAAGTGACATGGAAACTTCCTGTGTGGTCACTATGCCCCATCTGTCAAGAGATTCCCTTTCTCCCTCATCAAGCACTGTGAATAAAGGCAGAGGACTCCCACAGGCAATAAACTGTGTGATTAAAGAAATCACAGGTTCACCGTCAACTCTGCTTAACCATGTAAAACAGTCCTTAGCAGGCTAATTCGAATCTTCACGCCAAGTCCTTCAGTGTTATGCCAGACTCTGGGTATTAGCCTTTACATAGGAGATGTAGAAATCATCTTTTGATATCTAGAAAACTACACACTGGAATTTTGTTTTGTTTTAAGATAGGAGTAATCATAATAATACTCCTAAAAAAAAAAAAAACAAAAACTCAAGGGAACTCATTTACACCAGAGGTCAGCAGGACTCAGCTAACACAAGTCCTCACGCTGAAGAATGCTTTTTCAGGATTTATGTTGAAACCACACCTCTCTCTGACTAGAGGACACAGAAAAATACTATGAAAACCAGCCTCGTGACAGGTACCGTAGCCTTCCTTCCACCTTAGTGCCATAGTCAGACGGTTCTTCACGTTTTGGTGGGATTCAAATAAAGCCATCCTGATGTTACCTCACCTCAGAGTTGATCTTTACTGATCTATAAGATGACTTCAGGATCTGAATGTGTGTCAAAACGTTTGAGACATGTCAGGATAATCACAGGAAGGCATTTAAAATAGGAGATGGGGGTTTGCAAATTTAAATCTAATGATGGCTTAGAGTCTAAGTATATTTGAATAGACAGCCAGCTCTCTGCCTCAGTGCCTTTCTACCAGCAACTGGGCTGAGGAATGGAGAGAAGCCATCAGGGGATTTTAAACATGAGGTGTGGGAGGATGGCTGAGGGAGCACAGCTGAGGGAGGGAAGACGGTGGAGGGTGGGGAGTGGGTGATGGAAGTGAGCAGTGGTGGTGATGGTACTGTGAACAGAATTGTAGTTTGGAAAAATCACAACGGAGTACACCTGTGTAGTGAATACAGGAAAAAGAAAGGAGGCGAGCAGAGAGCTCCTTGTAAATTAGACTGCAGGAGGAGGGGAAAGCTGTGAGGGCCAAACACACATGTTAAACCCTCCGAAGTCTTCCTGCGGAAGACCTACAGAAGGCGGGACTGTGAACCGAGCAGGGGCTGTGATCATTCAGATGTGAGAAACCGCCAGTGCTGAATAATACCTAGGCTTCTCAGACTCACTGCACTTGTGGGGACAGGGGACACACACTCAAAAGTTAGGAAACTGTCCTTAAAATGACTATATTTTATTACATGGACATTTTTCTAAAATCTGATTTAGAAAAATTGAGACTACTTTATAAGAGACACACAGCTGTAGGACTGGATGAAGTGATAGGACAAAAATCTAACTATTCCAAAGAACTTCCTGATAATAAAAATAATAAATGGATTTCCTTATCCTCTTCTTAGACTCCTGATGTATGTTACTAATCAGACAGACTGAAAAAATGCAAACAGTGTGCCCCAAATCACATCAATTTTATGATGGGGGTCCTATTTGTACTCTATTTACTATCTACAGCTAGACTGCAGAGCCTATGATTGACTTCTTACTGCTGTGTATAATTATAAAGTAATGCTATCGTCAAAACTAAGGATGTATAAAATGTCAGCTAACGAAGATATTTCAATTACACTTGGTACGAGTCTTCTCAATTATTCTGTTGGGGTTCGTCTAATGGTTATCAGTTGAAAGAATCTGTGGTGTCACATCCAAAACTAAATGCTCTCTTCAACGAAGCCGAGTGTAAAATGTGCCTGTGTGTGTGGTAGAAAGCGCATTCCCGATCACAATGCCCTTCAGAGATCTGCAAGACCTGAGGAGCTGGCTGAGGAGCTGGCTGAGGAGCTGGCTGAGGAGCTG